ACTCAACTATGAATTTCACCCTATACAAGATGGTGGAAAAGAAGTGACAGGAGAAGCTTAACATCAAGGTTACAACTTTCTGTCCATCCATAATCAGAATATTTTAAATTTATTTTAAGTGTTTTGTTGTAGAAATAAGTGAAATAAAAAAAGTATTATTATAACTTGTACTTCCATAAACTTTTCAACAAAAAAAATTCAAACTGAAACGGAAGATTTATGAATAACCACGTGCATTAGAAATTGCAGGTTGAAATGACATGCAATTAAAGTAAATCCTCTTAATTATTGTTTTGCACTCTATCTGGTATATATAGTTTTCGAATCATATATTGTTGCTTGATTTTTTTGTGTATCTTTAGAACTTTCCACTGCTGCTGTTATTTGTGGCATGGAATTATGTAACAATAATTCTGATATTCTAAGTTTCAATTTTCTTTTGAAATGCAAAATAACCTTTTAGGATCTCATCTTAACAGACATTTTTCACAAACATGATTGAGTCATAATGACTCAGTTAACTATAAATAATGTATGACATTAAGGTTGCTTTGCATAGCCATGATTGGAAGTTAAATGATCAAACAAATGAATCAATTTATTAATATAATTTTATCTTAATGCTTTTGGAACATGGTTGAGGAGTTAATAAAGTAAATACAAGAATAATTTTATTTTGGTCATAAAGATGCATCTATGTAGATAAGCTAGCTGAATTTTTACCATAGCTAAAATTTTAAAGTAGAACTGTTCTAATGAGACTTTTACTTTAGTCTGTTGACACAGTTTTAATACACGATTTATTCATCATTAACATTAGTTAAGATTTTAAAGTTAATAAAATAGACCATTACTTATAATTGCTTTAATATCTTAGCTGATGCTAATGATGAATAAATGTTTACACTTTAAAAAAGTTGATTATTTAGTAAATCAAAATTCTTAGACTGAAATTATCAACTCTGCTATAAATATACTTTTTAGTGTGTTAAAGATGGTTAAATATTATGCTTAATATTGAAAAAGAAAGGTAAGCTGTCATGTTAAACAAAATTTTCTAAGCCTAAAACATTTTTATGCTTAACTATTCCATTTGTTTGTTAGTATTTCCATTTTTGTAAAATTTTCAAAATGTTTGCAACTAACTTGAGTACTTAAGATTGAAATGCATCATATACATGTACATGTATTTCTTTTGGAATATGTTCATCTTTGTCACACAAGTTCTAAGGAAAATACATTGGAGGACCCAGATGCACTGCTCATTGGATCAGGGAATACTGGGTAAATATGATTGCTGTTTAGTTTTATCTAGCATGAGCTGGAAATGTTGTATACATACACATTTAATGTCACTATAGGGACTTTCTCTATGTAAGAATTTTGCATGCTGAATGTTTTTATTATTTATTCTCTACACAACGTTTTTTCTGTACATTTAATGTTAATATTATCTTGCAAAAATGTGGATATAATGTAACGGTTTACAGTTTTTTTTATTCAGCCAGAGGAGATCTAGCCCTCAAGCATACAAGGTAACCTGGATAGTACACTTTTATAAATACATTAGAAGATAAACAGTTTGTGCTAAGAGAATTTCAAATGATGTAAAAACTGCTTTGTTGAAGATCTTGGCCAAAACCCTTTTTTTGTATTTTTTTTCCCCTTACAGTACTTAACCTAATACTTTTAATATATATGCATAAAATTACATGCTCAGTTCTCATGATGTAAAAGTTCATTATTTCTTTTCAAGGTTCATAAGGAAGATTTTTGATAGTTGAATGAAATATTTTATGCAAGAAACTCAGTGCACAAAATACACCTCAAATATCTCGGATTTAAATAGTAACATCACTCTGAGAAAGTCAGCTCTTCCTGTTTGAAGGGCTGAGGGTGATTTGGTGGTCAACATGCGTACTATGGATCTTAAGGCTCATTGCATACCCTTACTGCAAAAAATATATTATGCATCATACTTTGAAGCCGTAGGGTGCCATATATGGGAGACAGGAACATTGAGAGCCACCATGGACCCCAGGGCAAACATCCTCGCCGGGCCCCCTTTCTCTTTTTTAACATTTTCAAGAATTTATTAAAAAGAAGATCCTAAATTAGGACAGCAATGAGCTCATAAACCAGACAAAATCATAACAGCAGCTGTTTTTACCTCATAGTATAAGCGTAAAAATGTTAATAAAGTAACATCAAATATCTATTATATCTATAAAGTAACAAATACATATTAATTATTACTCAAATTATTATTTCAGTCATTCTTAATGTATCAAGCATCTATATGCAAAGGAAAGCCAAAAATTATGGTTTTTATCATTAAATGAAGATACAGCCTAAAGATGCTTTGCGGGTTTTATGGCATAACCAGGCTTCATTTGCCTGGGCCCTGCAACATTATTTAAATGTTTTTTATAAGTTATTAAAGATGAAGCAAGGTTAGATATTTACTAGATGTGCAATTTCACACTGCTTACAAAACAACCATACATTAAATATCCAGTAGCATTTTTTGCAATGTTTTTTGACAGGAGTGAAGTTAACCATCCAGATTTTGAATATCAGTTCCCGCTTAAATATTCTAGAGCTTGTTTTCCACATTGTCTGTTGAACTAGAGTCTTAGAATTTCGGGGCTAGATTATGAAGTTTACGAGTTCATGTTCTTATTAACATTAATTTGTGATCAGAGCAAGGTGCTTAGAAAGTTGTCATACATGTACATTCTGTTTGAAAGATTATTAGTATTCACATTTGTTATTACAACATAATTGTTATGCTCCAATGAAATTTTTGTCAGGTTAAAATAAGCTTTAAAAAATTTTTAGTACCTTCTACACCAGTGATTTCCAGCTTTTTGACCAAGTTGCACCTGAAATTATCATGGTCCATTCGAGTACATCACTTTAGAATTGTTTCATGTCTATTCTCCAATACCCCCTTCTCTTTTCATATGTTTTTTTTTGTTGTTGTTGTGAATTGATCCAAAACTAAATTTAAAATTCATACAGTACTCATCACAGTAAAAATGTTTCTCTAAATTCAAGCTGGAACAATCTGTTAATATTGCTAACTTAACTACTATATTTTTTCAAATGATGTATTTTATTTGTGTTCATTTGTTTAATGTGAGTCTATGTGTAGATATTTATTAGGAATATCTCATGTACCTTTAAGGGTAAATAAATCAATGATTGTGGATCACAATCATTTTAGAAAGCATGATAAGAAAGCACTAATTAAGATAGCTTTTATCATTAATTTTTTCTTAGCTTATTGGTTTTTGTAGAAATAATGCAAAACATTGTAAACTTACATAATATAAGAAAATTCATGATATGATGAGCCAAAAATTTCAATTTTGAGTAACATCAGCTCTCTGTTCCAGCTGACTTAATAAAAAAGAAAATAGTAAAATACTTAAGTGTAACTGTGGGGGGTTATTTTTTCAAGTTGAAAGTTCAAATAAAGGTTTTTGCATTGTCTTAACTTTACTTTAGAATGTTTTTATACTTTTTTAAACACTTTTCACCATTTAGAATTTTTATGAACTGTGATGTTTAATACCAGTAGAGTGTAACTTTGATTTACATGATTTAACACATTTTAATGTTAGACTTCTAGTCCAAGATGTTTAGATTTTGTGAATTACTGATCTCATTTTTTCTGCTTCTTCACTTTTCCTTGTAGCTGTCCAGATAAGAATTGTGACAGATGCAGGAATAGAGTTGGAGACAATGTTTTTATTTTGTCTACTCTCATATTCATTTATGACAATCTTTTCTTTCCTTTTTTTGTACACTCGTTTTGTAGGAAACTTTGTTCATCTTTTGTCGTTCAGTATCTACCTTCCTCTGATACTGCACCACCATTGCTTCTTGTTGGTTATAAGTTCTCTTGGAGAATTTGGTTTTAATTCTGATTATTGTATTTTTTCTCTTACAATGAAAAAAGGTTTTCTCTTTTCCAGCACCAGTTGATTTAATTGTTCTCAGTTTAATTTATTTTTGGAGACATTGTGTTTTTGTTAGTATAACTGTTTGTTGATTATTGGTACAAGTTTGAATAAGGAGCAGTTATTTTGTAAGGTTTGAAAGTCTAGCCAGAATTTTCTTGAAGAAAAGAAGGAGGTTACAGATACATTATACAGATTTTTGTTTGTAAGAAACTGTTAAGATGTTTAAGGAAAAGAAATCTAGAATTACTAAATAGAGAGTAAATATTTATTGTGCTAGTTCAGTGATATATAACTCATATTAGTGTTAAAGACGAATAATTGTAATCAAACAAATTACATAGAGTGAGGTCCTGTAGGGATTTGAAACTATGTATAAACATGTATGTGATTATATATATCTTGAGATAAGTAATTATTTTAATTCATGGGAAAAGCAAACTTCAGTAAATTATTCTGTTCTCTTAAGAAACAGCTTGTGACTTGTAAAAGTTTAATTTCTTAAGATGTCTTGGAAAATGTTGAAGTTCTTGTATATCGGTAAGCCTTTGTTTCATCTGACACTTCATAAAGAATTATTTGAGAGATAATTTTATAACTTCTATGAAAATTTGAAAAAAAGTCTGCAATATGAAATAATTGTATGACATTTTTTATTCTAATTAAATGAAATGGATAAAGCCAAGCAGATGTTTCATGTTAGTATCTACTTGTGGGATGCTGTTGTATTGTTCAGAATCAGAAAATATGATATCATGGTTTTTTTTTAATCTGACAGCCCACCCAGAACAAGAAAAGCCAGTCCTCCAAAGAAATTCTTTTCTCAAACTTCCTTTGTGACTGATTATTATCTTGGTTCCATGAACCATCTTGTTGGTTTGCTTTCGGAGAAGGAAGTGTCTTTTGTGATGTACTATGCACCCTGGGATGCCACTTGCATTGAGAGCCAGAAGGAATTTGAAGCTGTAGCTAGGTATTTTCATTCACAGGTAAATTGTTTTGTAGGATTTGGAGGAAATAGATGTACCAAGGAATTATTGAGAATGGTTGCTGTATCCATTTGTGTAAATTATCATGAACTGTTTGACAATTTCATTATAAATTAATTCAATTTATGAACTTCAGTTGAGTGAGTCTTTATTTTCATCCTGAGATTGTTAGCCTGATCAGGGCTTGATTTTAAGGAAATTTCTAGGTTGTCCGAAGGCTTTATTTATTGTCTGAAAAAACAACCAAATCTGATTTTGACAGTATTGATGTACAAAGACCCAATAACAATTTTGATGTTTTTATATCTTATTTATTTCCAAAAAGTACAATTAATGTTTAGTTGGCAATTTTGGATCTTTATTCAATTAATTTTTGATGCCTTATTTCCTGGGAAGTTTCATTACATTGGAAAAAATAAGCCCAAACCATGCTAATGTTACATAGTATTTTAAAGAAAAAAAAATTCAGTGACATGTAAAACTTTTAAACAGAACAGTGATCTTGGGCATTCACATTCAATGTTTTTATTCTAACCTGCTTGGCTTGCCTGCCAAGTACAGTAGAGTATGGCCTGTTATAAAACTAGACTTGCATCAGAAATTTCATACATACTACTGTACTGTAATACATACATACATAATGCCTGAGCGCTGCACATGTATACACACACATACACACAACACTGTTATGTTTTGTTGTTTATACTTGTAGTTTGTATTTATCTGGAGAGAGGCAAAGCTAGATTATTTATTGTTATTCTGTTTCGTACTGATGAAAATTTTCATGAACTTGTGTTTGCAGTGAACATTATTATGTTCTGTTTAATTTGTGGATTTTCCTGCTTTTCTCTTAGTATCTAGGCATTCCATATTTCCTAGATTTGATTAGTCTTGTCTGTCTAAAGTTAACCTTAAGCCTAAACACATGTAATCGAAAGGGAGATCAGTGTTTCAACTGTGATAATTAGTGCTGAAAATTTGGAGTTTGATATTGTGAATTCAATCATTTTAGTTCCTACTGAAGGTTTATCAGTAAAGAGTTGAGATAGCCATGTCAGTTTTATTGTCTGAAGCATCTATGCTAGAAATTAATATCACTAAATACTCATGGTATCAGCATTCATTGTCATTGTGAATTACTACCCTCCCATATATATATATATATTAGGTCTCCAAGAAATTAATGTTGTTTTTTTTAGATTAAAAAACTCAAACAACTTATATATCAACACAAAACAATTATTAAGTGAAATAATTCCCATTCTCATCAGTGATGCTTTTACATCTTACAATCAGGTTGCTAATGCCGTGATCAAAGATAGTCAGTTGGCTTTGAAGCAAAAAACATGTCGATGTCCTCTTTAACAACTTATATATTTGCATGCGTTTTCCAATTACAGTGGTATTGTAGCAAACGAAAAAGATAGTGATCTCATGGTGCCATATCTGGAGAATATGATGGGTGGGTGGGAATTTCCCAACCCAACTCCATAATCTTGTGTTGTGTCAAACGTGCCACATGTGGACATGCATTGTTGTAGAGAAGAATAATACCTTTCTGATTGATGATTGAAGTGTGTTTCTGATGAAGGGCTTGATTTAGACATTCCAGTTGCTGACTATAGATCTCAGCATTGACAGTTCTCTGTGGATTGAGGAGTTCAAAATGAATTACTCCTTTGATGTCCCATCAAATGGAAAACACCATTTTCTGTGGATGGAGTCCAGGTTTTGGGGTTGGAAGTGGTTTTTGTCTAGGACTGACTGATTGTTTTAAGCATTTAATATTCACATAGAGAATCCATTTTTCATCACTTGTGACAATTCTGTCCAAAAATGGTTCATGCACATTACACGCCAGAAGAGACGAAGCAACGTTCACACGCTGGAAACAATGATCATTGGAGAGTTTGTGAGGCACCCAAACACCTTTATAGAGTTTCCCATATTCCTTAGATGTTTACATATTGTTTCATGAGAGGCATGCAATTTCTGGGCCATTTCATGAGTGTGTTGCCATGGGCTGGACTCAACAATCATCTTCAGAGCATCAATATTAATTCCAACATGTCTGCTTCCTGCCATCATAATTTTTAAGGCTAAAGTCACCTGAACGAAATTTTCTGAATTGTTGACACTTAAGAATGTTC